CAGAATGTTAAAAGCATCAATCGACTGCTTTTGCCCATGACTGATAGTGTACTATGAGAAAAAGATAAGGGAGAAAAAGCCAGCATGCCATTAGAATTTTTGCTTATTTGATATTTTTTACATTGCACATCCTTCATTGGTGCAAGGGTGTTTATTATATAGTGAACTCTTTTCTGGAGTGTAAAATAGAAGAAACAATGAATAACAGTTCATTAGAGTTAAAATGTTTTCTGTTACTGCAGTAAATTTGCATGAGTTTTGAAAGCTTTGTCAACTGTTTAAAAGTGGTATTCTTTAACCATGTTTTAACAAATTACCTTTTCTTTTACATATTACAAATGTTTGTTTTCACAAGGGCACTTTTCATGTATTAAACAGTGTATGGATATTTAAGAAAAACTACATTCTTCAAAATAAACTTATAAAAGATCACCAGTCCTCCTCATTCATTCATTGGAATTTAGAGAGAAAATTGATAGAGGGACTAACATTTTTTAGATGGTAAAGTGAAACTATTTCTCATCCCCAACCTCTTCAGTGACAAATATTCTAGCCCGAACATCCTCAGACCACCTGGGACAAACCATTAGTCTGACAAATTCAGGTTTATTGTCTCTTACAATGGAGACCACATGTCACAGGAACTGTGGGTGTCCCACCAAGCAAAGATAAAGATCATTAATAAAGGATTTTAGGAAAGGATGGAGTTTAGATAAAGTTTAAATAAAATGTTTTTTATGGGCTTAAAGAAAGTAGGGCTGTTTGCAAGGGGTCAACAAGAGATCTGGACTACAAAGAGGACCCAACGTTCTGCTTTGTGTTGCTGTTGTTGTTACTGCTGTTGTAGTTGTTGTTTGAAGCTACAGATACATCACTCATCTCTCACACAAAGACAGACAATACATTGAATATGCAACTACACACAGATGAAAAAGGCAAAGGGAGGGAGCTGGAACACATCAAAGGGGCAGCAGAGACGCTGGTAATGGCAGAAACTCAGTATGGCCACATGGTGTATGGAAGAAAATTCCCAGCCACCACCACCTCATCTCCCACCTGGGAGAAGCAAGGACCCAGAAGGAGTCTCTGCCTGCAGGAAAGAGGTAAGTGAGTGCAGCCCCACAAACCAGCAGCCCAATCCATAGGAGAATTTGTGCTACTCCTGCAGCTGCACCCGGTGGTGGAAACTACTCATGGAGACCACGTGACTGCATCGACCTGGGGAGGAACATGCACAGAGCTGCCTCCACACCCAAGTCCCAGGCCACTACTGTGATCAATTTCAGTTTGGGAGTGGTCCCAGTTCCCAAGGACATTATTTTGATTTAGCCCTGGCAGCAGTTTCACACACCTGAGGCCACATCATTGCACAAGGTTGCCTACACAATGCAGTGTCCTGCTCCCTGGGTGTCACCCTCAGGACATACAGGGTTGGATCAAACACTTTAAAGAGCCAGAAAGTCACCTGATTGTAGCCTCCAGCCACTGTTGGTGAGCCACCATCCATGGTGAAACAGCCTTGCAGTTCTTACAGCCATGAAGAGGTGATGGAGGACTCAGTTGCAAGCTGAGGAGCTCCAGAGTGTCCCAGTACCTCTCAGAGTTACAAAGGCCTGCCCACAATGGCAGCAGCCTTGCTTAGAATGGCCACACCAGCTAAACAGCTATAGAGGTCCTCAGCACCCATTATGGAGGTGAAGGGTCCCAAAACTGCTAATACCTCACCCAGAGTAGCCACTTCAACAGTAGTGCAGCAAGGGCAATGCAGTGCCCCCTCCTGAGGGTGCAGG